GAGAAACAAGGGGTCCTTGTTGCGCCACATGATGAAGAGATGGGCCTAGAGGGATGCTGTTGCGCCATCTTGTTCTCGTCTTGCGCCATGATGATCCCTGCTGCGCCATGAATGGCCTTGTTGCGCCATGTATATGCCTGTTGCTCCATAGTGATGTTGTTGCTCCAAGATTGATGTTGTTTGCCATACTTGATGCTCTTGCGCCATTTGTATCCTTGTTGCACCATCATGGGCCATCTTGGTACATGATGCGCCATATTGATTCCTTTTTTGTGCCATGTTGATCCAAGTATGAGTAGAAGATGATAATGCTTAAGTATGTTCCAAAAGATGTTGAATGGCGGATTGTGATTGGTTGACATATTTCATGAGCCTATGGGCCAATAGGCTTGGCCCATTAGGGTTTTAGGTCTAATCCCTCAAGTATAAATAGGGATGCCTGCTAGGTCATTTAGTATCTTGAATTCTTGAGTGATAGGCGAATCTCTATGTAATTGTAATTATAACCTCCGTTTGAGAGCTCTGAAATAAAAGAATACTCCCCTCCTATCCATGGACGTAGGTCACCTTGATCGAACACGTAAATACTGTGTTTTGTGTGCTTTTGGTTTTTCTAGTTATCTGCTTTACTTCCTAACAAGTGGTATCAGAGCCGCGGATCATATTCCTGTGATTGAAAATGTCTACTCACAAGTTCGATTTGGAGAAGTTCAATGGCTCAAATGACTCCACTTTGTGGATGGTGAAGATGAGGGCTCTTCTGGTTCAACAAGGATGTGCGGCGACACTAGAAGGATATGAAAAACTGCCAAAGGACATGGCGGCTGATAAGAAGGTGGATATTATGATGAAAGCACATAGTGCCATTCTATTGAGCTTGACAGATGAAGTACCGAGAGAGGTTGTGGATCTAAAAACTGCTTCTGGGCTCTAGGATAAACTTTGTGACAAGTACCAAAAGAACTCACTAACGAACAAGTTGTATCAGAAGCAAATGTTGTACACTCTCAGAATGTCTGAAAGTACCCAAGTGAAAGATCTTCTGGATAACTTTAATCGCATCATCTTGGATCTACAAGGTTTTGATGTGAAGATTGAAGATGAAGATTAGGCGCTCATTCTCTAATGTTCTCTTCCTAAATCATATGAGAATTTTGTTGATATCATGCTCTATGGTAGGACAACAATCACTGTGAATTATGTGAAGGACTCTCTGATGTCTAAGGACCACAACTGAAGATTGGGAAGTCCAATAGTGAATCAAGCAGCAATAACACTGCTACTGTGGTTTAGGAAAGTTATGATGTAGGGATGATGTTGCTGTATTGACTGTATGTACATCAAGTTTTGCTGATGATTGGGTCTTAGATTCTGGAGCATCCTATCACATGACGTATAATCGTGACTGGTTTGACTCCTTCAAAGAGTGGGATGGCATAGTCAAGATGGGTGATGATTGGGTGAGCAGTATCAAAGGTAGTGGCATAGTGCATATCAAGATGCATGATGGAATTATCAAAAAGTTAGATTGTTGGTACGTTATAGAACTTAGGAAGAATCTAATTTCTCTTGGCACATTGGCTAAGAATGGGATGAGGTATGCTGGTGAAGGTGACTAGGTCAAAGTGTCCAAAGGCTCTTTGGTTATAATGAAAGGGAAGATGAATCATGGAGGGATCTATATCCTATAAGGCAGTACGGTTATGGGAACAGTGGCTATCTCCCAATCCTTGAATGAGGTGATGACAAGACAAAGTTGTGGCATCATAGGTTGGGGTACATGAGTGAGAAGGGCATGTTAGTTCTAAGTAAACAAGGACTGCTTGGTTGAGAGGCTACTGGAAAGATAATGTTTTGTGAACCTTGCGTCAAGGGAAAGCATTGCAAAGTGAAGTTCAGTACCAGTCAACACACAAGCAAGGAAATCCTGGAGTATGTTCACTCAGATCTGTGGGGTCTTACACTAGTGAAGTCTCAAGGAGGATGCTCATACTTCGTGGCGTTCATTGATGACTATTCTAGGAAGGTTTGGTTGTAATTTCTAAAGATGATTGATGTGGTGTTTGGGAAGTTCAAGGAGTGGAAAACCATGGTTGTGAAAAGGACTGGAAAACAGGTCAAGACTCAGCGGACAGACAAGGGGTTGGAGTTCTGGAATGCTCGATTTGATAATTTTTGCAAGGCAGAAGGTATAGTGAGGCACCGCATTGTACGTCACACACCACAACAAAATAGAATGGCAGAACGTATGAACCAAACATTCATGCAGCATGCAAGGTGCATGCAGATATTTGCTAACTTGTCCAAGCAATTCTGGGCGGAAGCAGTTAACACTCCATGCTATGTGGTGAATAGATCACCATCAACTACAATAGACTTCAAGATTCCTCAAGAGGTATGGTTCGGGAAACCCTCTGACTATTCTGGTTTACATATATTTGGATGCCCCACATATGCTCATGTGAATGATGGTAAACTTGAGCCAAGGGAAATGGAGTGCATATTTCTAGGATATCCAAAAAGAGTAAAAGGTTGTCGACTGTGGTGTATAGAAGAAGATAGAACTCCTAAATTTATCATGAGCTGAGATGTGACCTTTGATGAATCTGCCATGGGTAACCAGAGAGGAGGTGACACAAGTCAAGCAGGAAACAAAGATCAGGGTGCTAGCCAGAAGGTGGAGTTTGCATCTCAAAATCCAGAGAAATTTGTGATAAGTGACAAAGAGCAAAGTGGCAGTGAACAACCTGGATAAGATGAAACCCATGAGCAACACATGGGATCTTCGTCCAGTAGTGGTGATGTCGGGAAAGATGATGGGTCTGAACTTATAGCAAAAAGAAGATCGAAGAGGGTTATTCGACAACCCGATGGATATGTGGGATGTGTGAATTCAGGTGAACTTGACTCCATTGCTTTTGCCTTAGCAACTAGAGAGGACATTGACACCGATGATACTTAATCGTATAAAGAGGTTGTGGAGAGTAAAGGAGCAAATGACTTGTTGATGGCCATGAATGAAGAAATGCAATCTTTAGAGATGAATGAAACATGGGATCTTATTCCATTACCAAAGGGAGCAAAGCCAGTGGGATGTAAGTGTATCTTTAAGAAGAAGGAAGGGATACCAGGAGTTGAACCTGCTACGTTCAAGGAAAGGTTGGTGGAAAAAGGGTTCTCTCAGTAATAAGGATTTGATTATCACGAGGTGTTCTTGTAACGCCCGTGTTTCCAGGCTAGGCATTAGTGATGATGTAATAGTCTAGGTTAACCTTTGTAACTCATTTTGAAATAATAAGAATGTATTATTTGAATATTATGTCCTTTATGCTTAATTGTGTTGCTAAATTGAATTAAGAAAAAAAAATAAGCGATAAAATAAAATATTAGATAAGCCCGATATCTATGAAGGATGTGGTAGTTGTCGTGGCAAGGTTTCCGAATATATAAAGAATGCCGAAATCCGAGTTATAACAAAGAAGTTATGACCTGTCGAAGTTTCGCGACAGAACCGTTAAACCGAGAGCATGCATAAGAAGAACGTCTAAATCTGACTTCGTATGAGGAAGTTATGATTTTTCGAAGTTTCGACTTAGCAGTATGCAGCCCAAAACTCGAATATGAGATCGAGTGATTTTTAGCCGAAACAATCTAAACGAGAATCGAAGATCTCTTCGATAGTAGTCCAACGGTGAAAAGAAAGACAGAAACGGATGTCGGATGAAGAAGTTATGAATTTCTAACAGAGTTTTCCTGTCCCGGCCTACTAAAAATAATATAATAAAAATAAAGTCAAAATTAGCCGACGGAGTCTAAACGAACGTTGTAGAGCATAGTCACCTACTTGTGGATATAAAGAACGTCAAAAACGGAGCTCGTATGAGGAAGATATGAATTTATGAAGTTTTTAAATAATTAAAATATATTAATAAATTATTTATTCGGATAAAACCTGAATTCGTGACACACCCGATCTGATCCACCCGGTACGCCCAGCGTACCAAGAGTACGCCCAGCGTACATGTCGACGAGGCGTTACACCCCGCGTAAACTTTGATTACTCCCAGCGTAAACCGAGGTTCAGCCCCTATAAATACGATGCGACCCCCAGCCATATTGGTTACTAATTTTCCATTCTTCCACCCTTTTCTTTCTTCTATTTGGCAAGTTTTACCCCCCGAAGCCCCGATATTAATCCCGAGACCCGAAGCAAGTCCCGAAGCCCCGAAGATCCCGAGAAAAATAGTTTTCGAGCCGAAACTCTTCCCGCGTGAAGCCCAGTTTTGGAGAAAACATCTCGGTTTTATCGGAAAATATTATTTTAATAGACGAGGTGCTGTCCGATCATCGTCTTATCAAATGAGTGTGTAGTTTCTTTCTTCTATCACATAGATATAAATTATTCTAAATAAAATATGTGCTATGTGTTTGTATATTATTTGTTTATTTGAAATAATTGTTGAATGAATGATTTGTACAGGTTTTAAGCTGTATATATATATATATATATATATATATATATATATATATATATATATATATATATATATTATCTACTAGGGTAAATTACACCATCCGTCCCTCGTGCATATGCACAAAAGCATGTTTAGTCCCTATTTTGAAAAATTAACTCGGATTGTCCCTGTGTTTGTTTTTTCTTGCACGTTTAGTCCCTCTGGACATAAAAAGACTAATTTGCCCTTGATAATTTCTTTTTTAATTTTCTTTTGTTTATTTATCTTATTTTAATTAAAAAAAAAGAAAAAAAAATATATCTCCATCAAACACACCACCCCTCCTGCATCCCGTTTCCCCATATCCCTTCTACCCATTAGTCTTCATCTTTCTTATCTTTTTCTTTGGATCTCTTGGATATAGATCACCAGAGCCGCCATTTGATGAAGCAAAAAGGAAGCACCGGGACTTTGGTTCCATACACAAATAGTAACCAAACGTTGTTGTCCTTATGGCCCTAGTACACCGATTCTGTCATTGGGTTTATGGGAGGAGATGGTGACTTGAAAGTTAGGGAAGGAGGGGGGGAGGAGGATATGTGTGGATTCATTGGAGGAGTAGATGGTGGCGTCTTGGAGCTGCTGAATCTAAATGGTGGGTTGTTTGTATTTTTGGCAGGCGGAAGAGTTGATGGTGGCATTTTTGGAGCTGTTGAATCTAGGTCGCCGGAGCTACCATCGTCGGAGCAAAATGGAAGAACAAAAGTGCTATTTTCTGCCTCCATCTCTGTTCGAAACCCTTGCTCCACCTCTATTTCATTAAAATCTAGCGAACCCTCTTTTTCACCCCCTATTTCTTTGCATCGATATAACAACCACCATCGTGATTGATACAAGCACCGTCACTGACGTCTTTTCATGCCAACGAATCCCCCGAAGAACATAGTTATGCTTCTTTCGTGGCGCCTCCAGTCCAGTGGTGCTCTTGGTGGCACCGGGAGATCTTAGAAATGAGATGATGGAGGTGAACGTTTGAAACCCTAGGTGGCGTCGATGGTGGATGGTTAGGCTACTCATTGTCGCTGTATTGTTCTAGGATCGAGACATGAGTTACTTCTGGTGTTTCTGGTGGTGATGGCGGTATCAGATTCCGATGGTGGTGGTTGCATCAGATTCCAGTGGTTGTGGTTATAGTAGATTAAACGACTCTAATGTGTGTCAAAAATTTAGAGGAAAGAGGGTGGGGTGGGGTGGGGTTTTTTATTTATTTTGTATTTTACAAATAATTGTAAGAAAAATAAAATAAATCAAAAAATAATTAAAAAGGGTAGAATAGTCATTTCATGTCTCACAAGGGATAAAACATGTAAATTTAAACTAATGAGGGATGACATGTGCAACTTTTAACCAAACGAGGGACGGTTCGAGTTTAATTTTGAAAATAGGGACTAAACATGCTTTTGGACACATGCATAAGGGATGAATGGTGTAATTTACCCTATATACTAATGTGTTGGGTAGAACATGGGTAGACATTTGATGTGTGATGAAATAAAAATGATGAGAGGCCTCGATGAGATTGTGATCTAGTCATTCAGCAGAATATGGATGACGACCAGGGACTCTTTCTAGACTGTCTTGTTGAATGCTGGCAGGCTCATAACCTGTAGGTGTTGGTGAACTTGGGTGTTCATTTTCTGTATTCTATCCCCCTCATGGTTGCCTTAGGACATTCATTGCTGAGGAAACCCTTTGCAGTATTGTCCATCCCGATGAAAATCCTAGATTAGGTCCCTTGTGATAGTTGTTGTTTTAGGGACGTAAAGTGAGGATAATGAGAATGGGTAATCGGGTTATTGTTGGTTGGTGAAATTAAATATAATTATTTATTGTGGGTTGAAAACCCTATATGCTCACTAGGCTCCCAAGCCCTTCCCACTCAGTTTCTTTGTATTACAGGTAGTGGCGCGAGAGCATAAGTTGGAGAACTTGTGAAGATGTTTTTGTTTATAGACCAGTAATTGTATATAACTGTGTAAGGTCTATGTTTTATTGTTTATGCTTTTGTGTCGGTATCGGAACATGACATCCCGAGTTTTGATATATAATGAAAATACATTTCTTTAAGAAATGTTTTGATAAACTTTATTTTATCATGTATTGTTTTGGGGACAAATTCCGCAACTCTTTTAAATCAATGGGTTTACTCTGAAATTATTTTAAAAGCATAAATGAAACCGGTCTTTTCTGGCCGTGATTTTGGGGGTGTCACAGTTCTCACCGGGCGTGAAGCACAAGACAATTCGGGTTCTTTTGGCCATGGTGAGTGCATTTGATCTGGAGCTTGAACAACTTGATGTGAAAACTGCATTTCTTCATGGAAATTTAGAAGATAAGATTTATATGTCCCAGCCAAAAGGGTTCCTTGATGCTAATAAGGACCATATATGTTTGCTAAAAAATCCTAATATGGTTTGAAGTAGTCTCCATGACAATGGTACAAGAGATTTGATTCATTCATGATCTCGAATGACTACACTCGGAACCAGTTTGACAATTGTGTTACTCAAAGGAATTGTCACCAGATTCCTATATATATATATATATATATATATATATATGTTGCTATATGTTGATGATATGCTCATCGCAGCCAAAGACATGGCTGGAATAAATGACTTGAAGGCAACCCTAAAGAATGAGTTTGAGATGAAGGATTTCAGAGCAGCAAAGAAGATATTGGGGATAGAGATACAAAGGGATAGAAAAGTAGGGACATTGTGTATTTTTCAACAGAAGTACATTGAGAAAGTTTTGTAATCCTTCAATTGTGATTAGTCCAATCCAGTTGGAACTCCTTTCGCGGCTCACTTTAAACTTGGTCCAAGCAATAGACCTACTACTAATGAAGAATGGAAGTACATAAGTAGGGTTCCATACTCAAGTGTTGTTGGAAGTCTCATGTATGCTATGGTTTATACCAGACCTGATTTGGCTTATGCGGTTAGTGTGGTTAGCAGGTTTATGAGTAATCCTAGGAAAACTCATTGGGAAGCTGTAAAGTGGATCTTGCGATACTTGAATGGAACGACAGATGTTTGCCTGGTGTATGGAGCAAATACGAAGAGTGACTTGGTGCGATATGCTGACTCTGATTATGTTAGTGACTTGTTGAAGCGCAGGTCTCGGACGTGTTACATATTCAATTTATTCGGATGTGCCATCAGTTGGAAGTCAACGTTACAAGATACCGTTTCTTTGTCTACAACTGAATCCGAGTACATGTCCATGTCGGAAGGAATAAAGGAGGAGATATGGTTGCAAGCGCTTATTTAGTGTCTTGGTCTAAAGGTGGAGAAACCTGTCTTGTATTGTGATAGTCAAAGTGCTTTGAATCTTGCAAAGATTCCTGTGTATCATGAGAAGACGAAGCAAATTGATGTCAGGCTGAATTTCATTCAGGATATTCGGGAATGAGACACGTTTTCAATACTGAATATTGATACCAAGGTCAATCCAGCAGATATGTTGACAAAGTCGTTGCCCACACAGAAGTTCAAGCTTTGCTTTGACTTGGTAAATGTTCGCAGAAGATAGGTCCCTTTGGGGACGAATGACAGGAAGGGAGAGGAAGTTCTTGATCGACGTGGAGTTTAGATGATGCTCAAGTCAAGGTAGAGATTGTTAAATGTGACTCGAGCATTTGGATGATTTTCATGAAGCATTTGCAGCACTTGGACCTCAATGGAGCACTTGGGGTTCATGGAGCATGTGACAAAGGAACAACTCTTCTGATAGAGGAATGGATCATCAGACAAAGGAACTGATCATGTGCTAAAGGAAGGGATTGTGTAGAAGGGGGTTTAGAGCAGCTGGAAGGAGTTTTAAGCACTTGGAAGAGGTTTGGATCACTTAAAAGGGATATGGAGAAATAAGGGGTCCTTGTTGCACCACATGATGATGAGATGGGCCAAGAGGGGTGCTCTTGCACCATCTTGTTCTCCTCTTGCGCCATGATGATACCTGTTGCGCCATGCATGTGCCTGTTGCTCCATGGTGATGTTGTTTCTCCAAGATTGATGTTGTGCACCATACTTGATGCTCTTGCGCCATTTTTATGCTTGTTGCGCCATCTAGGGTTGCTGTTGCGCCATGAAGAAGCTGTTGCGCCATCATGGACAATCTTGGTACATGATGCGCCTTATTGATTCCTTTGTTGTGCCATGTTGATCCAAGTATGCCTAGAATATGATAATGCTCAAGTACGTTACAGAAGATGCTGCATGGCAGATTGTGGTTGGTTGACACATTTCATGGGCCTATGGGCCAATAGGCTTGGCCCATTACGGTTTTACTTCTGATCCCTCAAGTATAAATAGGGATGCATGCTAGGTCATTTAGTATCTTGAATTCTAGAGTGATAGGAAAATCTCTGTGTAATTGTACTTGTAACCTATGTTTGAGAGCTCTGAAATACAAGAATACTCCCCTCCTGCCTGTGGATGTAGGTCACCTTGACCGAACCACGTAAATACTGTGTCTTGTGTGCTTTTGGTTTCGCTAGTTATCCACTTTACTTCTTAACACAATGTATAACAGGATGTCAATCCAATGGGTTGGCCTTGGTGCCTTCGACCCGCAAGTATAGTCATGCTGACCTGCAAGTACAGGAACGCTGACCTCATTAAGAACCTATAGGATGTTGGCCGCGTACGTGCAGCGTACCACTTGGTACACCCAATATATGCTTATGTTCAACCCATTCCCTATTAAGAACATAATACTCCAAAGGTTCACGTCCAAAGTCAGATCCAAAGCTAAAATGCCCCCAAGAGTCATAAAGTTTCTAACTTTTTGACGTTGCATGCCCATCAAGTGCTTATTACAAAAAATCTCAACATCTTAATGCCTTAAGACCGTCTATAGCATGCATGGAGTAAAACTAAGCATCTATGACTCAAGACCCCTCACATGGTCTGAAAGTACAACTTATTAGTTCAAGATCATGCCATGCTCAAGAATAATCATATTTGGGACCAAAAGTGCCCTAAATGAAGAAATAGCTAGATCTACAAGATGGAGTGATCAATTTGTGAACTTTATCTCTCATGTAGGTTGCAAACAAGAAGATAATATCATATCCAAGATTCTTCCAAGCTCCCAACTCTTCTCATCACCCTTTTCTTCTTCAAGAATACTACCAAAGTAAACCAATGGGCTCAAAATGCACTCTTCTCACTAAGGGTTTACTTGGGGTCGATTTTTCAGATGGAGAGGCTGGTAAGGGAATGAGAAATGAGATATAATTATGTTTATATATGGACCAAACCCTAAGAATTAGGGTTTATACTTTCTCCACGTACGCCCCGTATACGACGTTTACACCCAGCGTACTGGGGTGCACCCTAGTAAGGCTAGCGTACACAACGTACGCTCAGCGTACTAAGCCTGGATAGAATTACCATATTCAAACTATGGACCATTCTAGCAACCTTCCTCATACCCAAGGGTTAAAGATGGAATATTCTTTCATACATCGGTTTAAAATTGAAGATACCTCAACATCGGGATGTTATAGTTCTCCCCTAATTGAACTAAACTCTGTCCTCGATGTCCATCATCGCGAATAACTCAGGGTAATGCTCTTGCATCTCTGCCTCCGGCTCCCAGGTCCTCTCGGAGCCTTTTTAATGTTGCCATTGAGCCTTTACCAATGATATCTCCATATTGAGCATGATCTTCATCTTCCTCTCCACTCTCGCTACCAGACTCTCAACATAATTCAGACGCTCATCGAACTGAATATCATCCAAAGGGACCACTGCTTCATCGTCCAACACGTACTTCCGCACTGCGAAAGATGGAAAGTGTTGTGGATCTGGATGATCTCA